AGAGCTTTTACAGGAGATTTTTTAGTTTTTTTCTACTGGCGCTCTCTTTTCTGTTAATAAAATGTATTTTATTAGTTTTTTTTGAGTACCTTAGTTAAGTTATTTATTGTAAGTCTGTGATAAATGTACGGTGTTTTTAGTTAATAAAGGGTTTAAAAAAAACCATCGATGTTTTGCTAACGGAATATCGATGTTTCAGAAACATCGCTGTACCGTTTACATCCCTACTTCTGTAGTCAAAGATATATTTTGAATATGTTACTAAATCTTCCCTATCATCAAATTTCTCTATATTATCCCATCTAATGCCTTTGAATTCTCTCTGAACACACACATATTTCGAATATCAAAGTGTTATCTTATCGTTTTAGCGCTCTCCCACATTCTGTAGGGATATCATTTACATTTCACCAAAATTTATTTATGTTCTCGTATTTAACACTAATAACAATTAATTAAGCTTAAATTTTCACATATTCTAAATATCATCCAAAATAGTGTCTAATATCAAATGGTTTGTGTTGTTTATGTATAGAGTAATTCTTTAATACCTACTTGAAATGTATACATTTAGAGAAAATAATTTATTTATATAATAAAAAACAGAACAAATGCGAGCCGGACTCGCCCACCGAGAGACCCATATAAAGACTATATTTTCATAATGCAATTACAAATGTATAGTTTTCAGATTTTTCCTAAAGGCTTCTGTGCGTAACTAGGCAACACGCCACCCCACGCCATCCCACGCTATCACACGTATGTCGTCTATCCCAGATCTTATCTGTACACTCTTTTCCACGTCGCAACACGTGGGCTCACGTGGGCTCACGTGGGCCCACGTGGGATAGCGTGGCGTGTGGCCTAATGGGGTGCCGGCTTAAGGGTTCTGCTTTTTCCTTTTGAGCTACGGAACCCTAAAAAGACTATTTCTATATATTGTTGATATTCTTGCAATATTAAAGAACCACGCTGTATATTGAACTGCATACAAACTCCATAGCGAAACAAAATAAAAGAGAAATATTATACCTGGAAAATATAGTATTCTTCGGTCATATTTTTTAGTTATGGTACATAAAAAAGAACTCTGACTTTATAAATATTTTATTTGGCTGTAATTTGTTATTATTTGATTTATAGGAGCTGTCAAAAGGCGGACGACCAACACATGAAATATTAATGGAAAATATGAGTTAGAAAGATTACTGGGACTTTAAGTGTTTTTTTTTCGTATAAATATCAATATGTCGCAATCTTTTATAAATTTTTAAAAAATCTACTTTACTTTAAGAGATATATATTTTTTAATGCAAATAGCAACTAATATCGATTTAATTTTTACCTACATAAAAAAATATTTAAACAAAAAAATAGGAATTTATTATTACTTTATAACATGATCTAATTTATTTAAAAATTTATAAAATAACTAGTTTGAATTTTTTAATCTAAAAAGAATGAGCTTGAAGTTTATAATGCCATTAAAAAGACTTTAGAAACTCGCGAAAGTTTTAAGCTATGGCAATGTATGCCACTTTTATATTTTGTAGTTTAAAGAAGTTTTGTAGTTTAAAGAAGAACAGTTACTTATACCCCTTATACATATACACCTATCTAGGTTCCTTGAGTTATACCGGATGCGTCTCAAAGGTGGCTCACCACTATAGCTTTTTTTTATTTTTTCGGATAAAAAAAGGAGATTTGGTATGTATATGATCTTGATATTCATTTGTTTTTGGTCACTTCCTGTTTCACCAGAAATGACTACAACTTTTGATTTTTAAATGGCACCCTCGGTATATTTCTATGTTATTCGATAGAAGATGACACATTGAATAGAATGACACACATTTTTGTCATATACTAACATACCAAATCTCGTTTTTTTATCTGAAAAAGTAAAAAAGTTATAAAGGTGAGCCACTTTTGAACACCTTATATTATGATTCTTTTTTCAGATAGAGAATTAAACAATTATTTTTTTTGAATATAGGTAATGTATTTCAAAATTTTTAACGGTTTTACAGATATTCGCGGTTTTATATTTCATATAACATTTTCCAAAGCAAATTTTTATCAAAGCGACTAATGATTTTTCTCTCGTATTTTACCGTTGAAAAAGCCATATGAAATAATACTGTGTGTATCAGCGAAACCATTTAAAATTTTGGAATACTTTAAATACAAAAAATGTTCCTCCCAATACAAAAAATGTTTTAACTCCCCATCTAATATAAAAATAATACACAGGGTGTTCTGTTGAAAAAAAAACAAAGAGAAATTATTTTATATTTTGAAAGTTTGGCATAGAATTTTAAACACCCCGTACGATTTAAGATTACCATATTTATAGCAAAGTAAGTATAGACCATCTAAAGTAAATACCTATCATAGTTTTGATCTCAGGACAGATCTTGTATTTGTAATAATTTTTAAAGAAGGTTGAAAAATATATTATATTTTATTTATTTATTAATATTTCTGAAATTACCGAAATATATTTACTAATATCTTAGGATTATATAAAGTGATCTAAAAAGAAATCAAAAATACAATAATCTACACGGTGTTCTATTTAAAAACATCATCCCAATCCACTAACACTTTTTTAAGCCACCCTATAGAAGTTAAAATATTTTCCTAAAATACATTCTCGTACATACTTTAGGTTTGCACTTAAACAAAATTCCCATTTTTTTATTCTAGGAGCTACAGATACCCGATTGCCCTTTCTAATTGTCTGAAGGTTTAATATATCAAGTTGTCAAAAACTGTCTTTTTTTTCAAATAATATTATGTTTTGATATACAATGTATTTCCAAAAAATATGTATTTCTATCAACCCTTAAAACCTTCTACAAATTTCTAGACCATCCTGTATTTAATCACCTAAAAATAAATAAATACCACAAAAAAATCAATATTGTTTTTCCGTTAAATTCCATCGAATATAAATTATATTTTCGGTTGATTTTAATGAAACCATGCTTAAGAGTTATTGGATTCCCTTTACTCTATCGAGGCAAGCCAATATTTGATCTTTGGAGAGCACCTCCTAAAGGTGAAGTGTAATAGGACTCTTAATTTGATTTGTCAAAAGGAACGAGAAGAGATATGATAGACCATTAAAATCTTGTTTCTTTTTCTCCATGTTATTCCATATTTTTTATATAAAACTAAGACATAATGATGTAAAGATGTATGAAATACTTGTTTATCGCAGAAACACACGAAATAATGAATGACCTCTTTGTATACAGAAATAAATCAGTATATAAAAGAAAATATTAATAAAAGTCATTATTACAGTTGAGGGTTGGAACCTTTGGTGTTGCAACAGTAAAATAAAACACTAATCCATGGCAATACACCAAAACACTTTTGCACTGGACGCGCGTTTTGCTTACCATGTTAGCATCATGATGATTTGATAATCAGTGCAAAAGTAAAGTGTTTTGGTGTATTGTGGTGAACTATTGTTTTACTTTGCTCCAGAAATTATTATATTTTAGTTAAAGAAATACAAAAAATGGTATATTTAAATAATTAAATTGATTATTGTATCAAAATGTTGATTTTATACATCAATATTAATTTCTTGAAAAATATGAGATAACACAACGTCAGAAATCATCTTATCCGATAGTCAAGAACCATCTTATCCGATAGTCAAGAACGATCAACTCAGTACCCACAAACAATTCGAAATTAGTCAAAAAATATCTAGAAAAGCTCAACAAATTAGGCAAAGAAAATAAAATCCTTCTACTCTGGATACCATGTTTATCACCAAGGATTAGAAGGTAATGACAAAGCAAATGGTCTAGCTAGACAAGGAGCTAGAACACTAGCAGATTGAGATGGCCCATTCTACGCCAGGAGGAGCAAGGAGCAGGAGCAGGAGCAGGAGCAGGAGCAGGAGTAAATCAGTTAAGAACGGTTAAAATAGGCTAATAAACAAGTTTGAACCGCTTTGAACCGCTTTTGAACTGCTTTGAACCGCTTTTTAGCTTAAAACAACAGGCCTGTTCATTTTTTGTTCAAACCCGTTTATTTCTGTTTAAAGCGGTTCAAACCTGTTTATTCTTGTTTATTAGCCTATTTTAACCGTTCTTAGCTGATTTACTCCTGCTCCTGCTCCTTGCTCCTCCTCCTCCTGGCGTAGAATCGGCCATCTCCATCTACTAACACTCCACTAACTCGATAAGAATGGTTCTGCTTCCCAAGTGGAAACCAATTTAAAACAGAACTCAAAAACCTGAAGATTCCATCCGTAACCTGGAATGGGCATCCTCCAACGGTGTAAGACACTCGAATCTTAACGGGATCAACGTCCCCTCAGTGAACACCTCAGTAGATTGAATCTAAGATTGAAGCTAAGAAGCAATGGCAAATGCAGATTCTGTAGGGAAAATAGAGAAACACCCGAACACCTCATCACCAAGTGCGCCAAAATGACAACCATTCATGTCATAAACTTTGGTAGGACTTCTCAGGCCGTCTCAGATACTGGCTTTTGACAAAGCCCTGAGACTGTATGATGAGTTATAACTTAAGAAAGGGGGACACAATAATTTATAAGGTCCCGGTGATCAACTTCCCCCTCCCAAACAATCTACGGTGAAACCTTACGAGTCCTACATTTAAAGTTTTCACTACCTTCTCTTTGACATAAACAAAAAATTTTAAACTGTGCCTAAACGATTAATTTGTTTTGTCATCAAGAAGATGTGATGAAAATGATATAAACGTATTGTAATAAGTATTTAAAATTCAATAATTAATTGTCAATCGATAATTAATATTTATTTTTTTATCAAAAGGTATTACAAAAAAAACTCAGAGAGAGAGATTAAAAGGATATATTAGTTTCTCGGACTTTTAAATTTTATATGATTAATTAGATGTTATGATTTTTTTTCTCGCATTATGATACCCATCTAGCATAAAAAATTTGCTTATAACTCAAAAAGTATAGATATTTTCTTCGGACTTACCAGAAGTTCTGTAACCAAACCTGTCTGTTACCATCGATGACGCGCCATCGAGAATCAAAGAAAACAAGGTAAAGTCTATGAAACAACCGACTCGGCTCTGAAAGCTAAGGAAAACTTTTTCCGGAGCGCGGCGGGAAACTTCGACAGTTTTCCGACTCGTGGTATAAGGGAAAATCCGCTCTCTGGCTGAATCCCCGTCGTTTGACGATGTTCGCTCGGGGCAGCGAGTTGAACTACGTTTGCGGGCGACGAACCTCGTGCTGGGTTTCCGCGAAAAACAAAGATACGCACGCATGGCACTGTTATGTAGCGTTGTTGTAGACTCTGTAGAGTCAATAAGATGTATTCTACCATATTGTAGATTGTAGATTTTATGGGAGGGGGAAATTAATCACCGCGACCATATAACTTTCTCGAGTTGCAGTCTCTTGATCAATTAATCTCAGGGCGTTGAAAAAAAAAACAATATCTGAGAATGTTTTACAGAGGTTTTATAGTTTCAGCTTGAGAAGTCCTACCAAAGTTTATCACACGAATGGTTATCATTTTGGCGCACTCATTGATGAGGTATTCTGGTGGTTCGCCATTTTCCCCACAGAATCTGCATTCGCCGTTCATTGAGAAGTCAATGTCCTGTTAAAAAACCCGTGACAATCCGAAGATTGTTCTTACTTAAATCAAGGAAAATCATCTCGGTTGTAAGTTCTGATAAATTTCTTCGAGTGTCTTAGACCTTTGGAGGATTCCCATTCCAGGTTACCAAAGGAGTCTTCCAGGTTCTTGAGTTCCGCTTTAAGTTGGTTTGCAGTTGAGAAGCAAAACAGTTCTGCTCCAGTTAGTTCAGTGTTCTCTTCTTTTCTAGCTTGATCGTTTGCTTTTTCATTATCTTCTATCCCTTCGTGGGCTGGCCCCCAGAGTAGGAGTATTTTCTTTGCCTAATTTGTTTAATATCTATTCTACTAAGTTATAGGCAAAACAGATTCATTACACAGCAATGAATATGTTTAAGGAATCAAAATCTCCTGTATACCGGATGTTTAAAAAAAAGTACGAAAATTTTTCATGAGTTACTACTTGGTTAAATGAAAACGTTGAGTCAAATATCAACTATAAAGGAAATAATGTAGTCCAAAGGAAGCGCTCTTTTATTTTAATATATAGTACAAATACAAAGAGTGTTCCAAATTGCAAAATTTTCAAAAAAAACTATGTAGCTCAGAAAAGAAGAGGGCTACGAAATTTTTATTTGTAGCATCTTTCGGTTGATAAAAAAGTGGGGCAGGTTTGTGCAAACCGGATCCTTCTATCTTCACTAATAACGGAGATATAGTATGATTTTAATCAAAATAGGACACCCTGTACACAACCGGCCTAAAATCACTCCACAAGTGACAGTTACCCACGACAATATCTACTGAATAAGTTAACTTTTTTATAAAATATAACAATCTACACTTTCTTTCAAACAAGAAATTAGCCGTTACTTAAACAAGAGTTCACATTTATTTTAAAACATTCTGTAGAAACATAAATTAGTGTACAAATTTTGTTTTTATTATCTACTTCATAGCGACGAAATCACAAATTTTCAAGTTTTAATTTTCTTTCAAATCGCATTTTATTATACACTGTACAGGGTGTTCCAAATTCATTGGACTCTCAAAAACTAGAAGAGATTACCTTATAGAAGCTCTTCTACCTTATAGAAGAAAAAATCCAGAGTTGTATTTAAAAAAAGAAACTTGAAGATGGCAGCTGAAAGGCAAAACGTCGGTTTGAAAATCTGGTAACACCTTGTTGTAAAACAAGAAAAAAGTAGCAATGAGAATGTGAAATTTATTTTCTTAGATCTATTCTAATAAAGTCACAAAAAAAATAAAAGTGTAATCGCGAATATTAGGAATTTTTAAACTTTTAAGGCATTTTGATAAGCATCAAATAGCTTCTAATATCCGAGATCCCAATAACGTGTTAGTTAGTTGTGTTTAGTTAACGTTTAACCCAGTTTGGGACACCCTGTACATTAAATTAAATAAAAAATTAAATAATTTAAAAAATTATCCACTTTACCAAAACGAAACAAAATAACAAAACTTGTTGCGCACAATTTGGCAATTTTGATGCAAGTTTAAATGATGAAATAAATATTCGGCAGGTCTGATGCAGCAGGAAAACAACATACAAATTACTATTTAACTAGAACCATCAAAAACAGATGTCTACCAGTGGCGGACCTTCAATAAGTGCACCGTGTGCACGTAAACCCTTAAGTTTACTGCCTCTTCTTGAGAAAAATATTTGAAGGCACCAAATAGGAGTAATTATGAATAGAATAATTATGATTTTCAACATTGCCGAAAGAGTTAACATGATTAAATAGCATTTTGCTGTAAATAGTCTCCGCGCTGTCGGATATGTATGAGTCATATTTTTGTTGTTTTTTACTCTGTGCCCTGTGTCCCATGAATGCTGACAAATCTTAGATTTGTGAAAGTCGCCTTTTCTTAAATAATCTTTATGTTCTTTAAAGGGTCTAGATGTTTTACCAGTATAAAATTTGTCTCATTCATATGGTATTTGGTTAGGTTGGTTACGAACAAAAAATGTAACATACACATTTTTTGTTTGTTGTCTAGTGTTCATTAGTTTAGTGTGTGTTTTGGTTTGGAAGTTGTTTGTGTTAAAATGGATCTAAGTGTATTTTCTGTTTTGAAAGATGTTCGTATGTTATATTGTTTTCTTATTCTTCTTATTTTTTGCGAAATACCTCGTATGTATGGAATTGTAAGTTGTATATATTGTATATTGTTATCATTGCGTGTATTCTGTCTATGATTTGGGGTTTGCATTTCGTTTAATATTAGTGATTATTGTTAGTGGATAGTCGTTTTTTATTAATGTATTTTTTATGTGGTTTACAACCTTAGGATCTTTTAATTTGCAGCCATAAGATTGACGATTTAATAACCCAAAAAAATATTTATAGCCATGGTTACGAGACAATTTGTTTTCTCAAAATGTCACCGCTCGCCGCCACTGCTGTCTAGTGTTTAAATCCAACAAATTCGATATTTTCCACAAAAAAAAGCAAAAAGAGGCCACAAAATATATTTCAAATTGAACATCTATCAAGAACAAACCACGAGCATTGATTGAAATAACCAAATATGCTACGTTCTACCTGAATTCAAATATCTAAAATATTTTAGTATCATAACTTTCCTGGCCATTTTCAATGAAAAATTCCTCTAAAAATAATTATTTATATTATATTTCCCATATAAATGTAAAACCATAAAATTCATTTATAGCACAAATTACTTCTAAATTGTCACAAGTAATATAATTGATTACTCAGTTAAATGGTATTATTGTTGATTTTTATTACACAAGCAAATGTAATTAAATTTCCTTTGGGGCGATGATTTATCAAAACACCCTCTGAAATTTTCGGCAGGCCTAAATTTATTGTTTTAATTTTCTTTGAACTGTTTTTTATTGCTCAAAAACATCCAATAAGTATTTTTTAATTATTGTTTTTACGTTGTTTATTACTAAAAAGTAATTTCAAATGATAAAAATATAATAAATAATTATGGATAATGTATAGTTTATTATATATTTTTAAAAAATAACCTTCACCATTTTATCAAGAAAACAATAGTTTTAAAAATAATGAACATCATGTGAACATCATTACAGTATGTTTTTGTATATAATAAAGAGAAATTTTAAAACAAATAATTGTAAAACAATAAAATATTATTTAACATACTTAATGCCTGATTTACTTATAAGACAAAAATTGAAATTATATTACCTTCCTCATTCTGTCAATAATGCAAAAAAATATAATTTGATGATTTTTGGAAATTCATCAAATGTATGATGTATTACATGTATATGTATAAAGACCTATACCTAAGTTTAGCAGTTTTTGAAATATTTTCTATTTTATATCAAAAATTTCATTTGTATAGAGCAAAAAATAATTCTCCTTGCCTCTTTACAAAAAATAAACCCAGAAATTACATTTTTTATAGCGTTTAAAATTATTTCCTCTGTACAAACAGACTTTACCTTTATGAACTTGTTTAAAATATTTTATCTATATTATTTTAATATCTAACTTTCAAAAACAAACTCAAAATTAATTACACCATATCTAAAACAAGTTTTTTGAAAGTACGATGGCATTTTTCTTTAATTTCAGTAAACAGCTTAAAGAATCATTAAATTTATTCACATTCAAGGAAAAACTAATTAGTACATTAATATACAGATTATATTTTAGTATAAAAAGAGAAAAAATTATATTCTTTGTTAGACGATAGATATACTTCAAACAAAAAGCTCTTTAAAATGAAAATTTTCAGTGTTTTAATTTTCGTTGCATTGGCAGCCTTGGCAGTGGCAGGTAAATCCCATACTGTTTTTTAAAATCATATTTTACCAAATGTTTTTAATCAAATGAATATTGCTCATATCATATTGTTACTCAAATACTATCTCATTTTTTGGCAAAAGCGTATAGAATTTGATAGATTATTTATTTTATTAATTATTTATGCTGCAACAGAAATTTCGAAATAATGTAGGATAAATTAAAACATATTAAAAATAAAAGAGGCTAAATATTATTACCTCTGTTTCATAAAATTTTGTATTTAATTAAGAATTACCTATTATTACAATATTTCAATTAAATTTAATTTATCTTTCGAAAATTCTAGAACTTATTTTATAAATTATACGTATTTAGAAATAATGTGGAGAAATATTAAAATCATTTAAAAATATTTTTTTGCTGTTTGTTTGTACTTATATCAATTTATTTATTATTTTCAGCACCCCAGTATTATGGCGGGTAAGTACCTGTATACAGGGTGTTTCAAACATGTGCCATCTGTCGTGGGGAGATAGATTCCTCTCGTAAAAATAAGATTTATTTCTTATATTAATATACCATTATTATTATACATACCAAAGTATCATTATTTTTTGAGAGAATTTACTGTAGATAGCACTGTACATCAGTGTTATAAATTTTTTAAAAATTTAGTAATAAATTATATTAAATAAATATTCTATTAATTTTATTTTAATTTTATTAATTGTCATTAATAAAATTGCGTTTATCAAAGATTATATATCAGAAAAAATATCAAGATTCAACTTATAATCGGCCGACACACTTTTACTAATAAGAGAAAAAGTCAGTGACGCACGTGTTTTTTTAGAAAAATATTCCAGTGATAACCCATATGCTCATCCCTAGTGAATCTTTCGACACTATTTTTAGCATTAAAATATATGTAGCACTCATAGTAACCAAAGTTCATTCGAATCACTAAAAGAACTTGGAAGAAAATTATGATAAATCGAAAAATAAAATAATAAAGACTTTAACCTCCTGTCCTATTTTCATGTGAGGAATCTCCCCACGAGATATGGCACATGTTTTTTGAAATACCCTGTATAAATAATGTAGATTTTACAAAATTTATTTCTATACAGAATGTTCCCCGATCATATTTAAAAGAGGTGTTTTTAATCATTAACTTTTTAAGTAAAATGCATTCTTCATAAAAGTTTTGGGTTGTTCATATTTTCAATTTTCTCTAAACCTGCATAGAAAAGAATAAACAAAATTAATCATTTCAGAACAAGTAATTTTCTTTAACAATACATTTTTCTAAAAATGATAATAATATAAAAAAATATCCTCTTGTAAAGACAATCCGGGAACATACTGTATAATTTTTTTATATTTAACTAAAGAAAATGTATCTTACCCAAAAAACATATTTGATCTGAATTAAAATGGACTAGAAGTAAATAATTTAAAATCTAAATAAATAAAACAAAAATCAGGTTGGTTACACATGTTACACAATTTACAACTCAAGATCGTCTGAAATGATTTTAATGATCTCTGATTTGTTGGATTCGTCTCCGATAAAATATTTGAAAAATTGACGGAAAAAAATGACTCAAAAAAATAATTTTTAAATAAATTATGTTCGGAACAACCAAACAAAAACATTGAGACCAAATGACAACTCTCAAATCGATTGGATCATTCCAGATTCGGTCGGAAATTAGCCAGACCTGCTAGTCTATTAATAAAAAACAAACACAAATATATTTTTTAATATTTACTAAGAGCAATAATTTATTCAAAATAATATTTCTTAGATCCAGTGCAGGAGCTAATGCCTACTCAGGAAGTCTTGGCGGACATCTAGTAGTTCCAGGGGGACTTGTGCCAGGATTGTAAGTAAAGTACACATCTTTTAGTAAAACATCATTTGTACACCAAAACACTCTACTTTGAACTTTATATCAATGTTGCAGAAATCTGCAAAGCTCAAAGTTACCTAAGTGTTAACTGCATATAACACTGCATTTTGGTAAAGTATAGTCTCCCCATCGAAGAAGAAAGTATATGACAGTGAGACTTCCACCGCATATTTTTCAGATTTCGGTCTGTCGTCAGATTCAGGTCTGTCGTTAATTCAGGCGAATTTTTTCGTCTCTGCTCTGATTCTCTGAATTTCTCCACCATTCTACGGGGTGCGTCTCGAAAGTGGCTCACCCCTGACTTTTTTATTTTATGAGATAAAAAAACGAGATTTGACGTGTTAGTATATGACATAAATTAGTATTGATTGACGTATTTAATTGTTTTTCGTCACTTGCTGGTTCACCGGAAATGTGACTACAACTTTTAAATTTTAAATGGCACCCTTAAGATATTTTTGCTTTATTTAATAGAAAATGACACACTTAATAGAATGACATATCATATGTCAACATTTGACATTTTCGCTTAAAGAATCGTATTTTAAATTTCAATCTAGAGTACCATGGCTGTGTTAAAAATACTAATTTTTAATCATGGAGCTTTGGAAAAATTTGATACCACAAACTTTTATATTTCGGTAAAATTCTCGTAATGAACCGCATGTTACAATTTCAAATAAATCATATGCGAAAATGTTAAAAGCTGACTACAACTATATGATGACATATGATATGTCATTTTTACTTTTCTATCGAGGGTGTCATTTAAAAATCAAAAGTTGTTGTCATTTCCAGTGAAACAGAAAGTGACCAAAAACAATTGAATACGTCAATCAATCTTAATTTATGTCATATTCTAATATACAAAATATATATCTATATATATATATTATATATATATATATAAATATCGTTTTTTTATCTGATATAATAAAAAGTTATAGGAGTGAGCCACTTTTGAGATGCACCCGGTATAGAGATTTGTTGGCTACTCACTGTTTTGTGGCCATTTTTGTGACTACAGAAAGGTTCATTGATGAGCTTTGTTTGGCCAATTCATCTGTCTTTTCGTTACCCTCCTGTATCTGTTATTTTTAATTGATATTTATCAACCATCTTATTTATCTTAACAAAATTACCTATTGAAATATTTTAAAAATTATATTAGAACCATATTTCACAACACAATTATGTAATTATTTCAATAAGCCTATTAAGGGATAAATAAATGGTTATTTGGCATATAGTATGTCGAAATATCTATAATTCAAGTAGGTACTTACAAAGATTATATTATTTGATTTTTTTTATTAATTTCAGTGGAGAATCAAGATCATACGCCAATGCCGGTTCAAACTCATTTGGAGGACTTCCTTTTGGTAATTCTTTAATTATATTTAATATACCACACGATCGAGAAAAAAAACGGCGTCAAAAACGGCTGGGGCATGACAATCGAGGATAATTAGTGTTAATAATCTTTGACAAGATTATCGCGTTTGCAGATTGACCTGGCCAAAATTATTATCGTTCCCCAGCCCTCTTTGACGCTGTTTTTTTTTCGATCATGGTATAACACATTTTAATGTTATCATAACTTATTTATAATATTTTATATTTATTTTAGGAGGAGTTTCAGGTGCATCTGCTGGGGCCCAATCAGGCAGCTATTTAGGTTGAAAATGCCTGTAATTACATAAGATTGTATAATAAACAACTGTAACATAAAAATGCTTCTTTTATTTATATGGTGTGTTCAACAATCATTCAAATCTACGTCATCAATATTATGGAGAAGTCATAAAAAGATTAGATGCAATCTTTAAAAAAATAAAATCACCAGTAATAACAAAATACATTTTATTAAAGCTAATAAATCTTATTAGTACTATTTTACTGTAGATAATAATAACTATATTTACAGAACTTAAAATACATACAATATAAATCATAGCTAACTGAGAAATAATTTATTAATATATTAAATAAAAAATAATTTAAAACTAATTTAATATTTACAAAATAAATAAATAAAACTAAATTAATTTTAAGGTATAACACTCATCTTACTGATAGAAGCCCCTGTTAAAATTTATTTATCATATTTTATTTATTATTAATCACAGTTAGTTTTAAAACAACCCTTGACTAAATGAAAAAGAAGTAAAATTATGCCATGGAGTTTTTATTTACTTTAATATGAGATTCTCCCAATATATTTGGGCAAAAAATTATAAAATTCTAATATAATAATACAAATATATACAAAAAAAAATATTTTAATAATTGTTATGTGTGTGCTTATTTTGTAATTTGTGTCATTTTCAGTCGATTTTAGTACAAAAGAGTTTTAGTTAATTACAATATTATAATCTCTGCATAATTCAGCAACATGTCACTGTTCAATATTGTTTTTATCACAACCATGAAAGTGCAATCTTACAGAAATAATTTGACGAAAGTCAATAGAAATCTACCAACCAGAATAGAAAGATCAAGAAATTTAATATTTTCCATTATGATCAATACCTTAACATAATCATGTTTATAATCATCTATCTTAGTTGGAACTATAAAGAAAATCAAGATCACCAGAATACGCCTGATGCTATTTAAATGATCTAATTAAGTTTTAAAATCTATTAGAGCTTAAAATTGAGCTTCAATGTCCCTTCGCTGGATTTTTCTTAACTGAATCGCAAAGTTTTCTCATTTTACTTTAGCCCTACTAAATTAAACTATTATAAAATCATAGTTCAAAGTAAAACTGTTAATAATTTTCTTTTTTAGTTCTGGGATCCTCCTAGCAACGAGTCCATACCTGTTCCCAACACATCTTTCAAGTAAAAATACCTACCTAATACTTTCTTAGCGTTATTGTTTGGTTTACTACTTTGGAAAATGACAAGACAGAACACATCAGAAAATTCTCAATGATTGGATGCAATGGTTCCAGATCATTTTCTAAGAAAGATATCATCTGAGGCACATTAACAAATAAGTCATCATCAACTTTGAGAACATATTTTGCGTTTTTGCAATGACACTTTGCGTATTTCAGGCACATTATTGTTTTGTAAGTGAGGTTCCTATAGGTATCCAACGAATTTCCTTGGGCTATATCCTTAAGTAGTTTGGATTGAGCTACATCGACAGGATCATTCAGCACAAACAAAATTATTACATCATCACATTTTAGACTATCCCATGTCTTCTCTGATGACATTTCTCTTTCCAATGTTGCCTGGACTGGACGGAACCAAGATCAAAAGAAGCAGTTTTTTTATCTGAACATATCTGATCGTTTAAAATAAAAAATTAATCTATGTAATTTTAAATAATCTCAACTAAAGCTCAAAATTGAGCTTCAAGTGTTCTTTTACTGGACTTTTCTTCACTACATCCCAAAGTTTTCTCATTTTACTTTCAGCCATACTAAACCAACCGATAATAAAATCATAGTTCAAAGTAGAATTGTCAATAAGTTTGCTTATTCTTCCCGAATCCAAAACATAGCTTCCAATACTCACTCGTTTCAGTTCTGGGATCCTCCTAGCAACCAATCCATACGTGAAAACATCTTCCAAATAAAAATACCGAACTTTCTGAGCAATTTGGTAAAACTTAGGAACTACATCTCTGGAGAATAATGCTACCCAGCCTGCACAATACACTGGGTAGTATGTATCAGGAAACTCCTCATAAGTAGCCATATATTTTCCCAAATAAGGATCATTTCTATCTCTAACTACCTTGGAAGAGGACAAGACAGAACACATAAGAAAATTCTCCGGATGCAATGGTTCCAGATCATTTTCTAAAAAAGATATCATCTGAGGCACATTAACAAACACGTCATCATCAACTTTGAGAACATATTTTGCGTTTTTGCAATGATACGTTGCGTATTTCAGGCACATTATGGTTTTGTAAGTGAGGTTCCTATAGGTATCCATCAAACTTCCTTGTACTATATCTTCAAATTCTTCATTTTCAATCAGTAGTTTGGATTGAACAGATTCATCACCAGGGTCATTCAGCACAAACATAACTTTTACATCGTCTCGTTTTAGACTACCCCATGTCTCCCTGATGACATTTCTCTTTCCGATGTTGCCTGGAGCTGATGGAACCAAGATCAGAAGAAGCAGTTCTTTATCTGAACATGTTTGGTTGTTTAAAATGTTGAACTTGAAACCAGTGAGGTTGTTAAGTTGACTGTAGTCCTGTTCTGATAGTACTAGCTGCTCTTGTGTGCTGACTAAAGTTTTTCGTATGACCAGGTTGTCTTTGTATATGAATAGAAGAATAAAAAATTGAGCTGTAATGCAGATGAGGAACAGCTGATGCCTTGTTTGCATGTTTATTTCTTCCTGAAATTAAAATAAATAAGTGTTATTAGAAATTTATTTTAAGGGATTAATATAAATCAAACGCTGGCATGTTTAACAGTAATTTTCAGAAATAATGCTTAGCGTTTAACGATAAAACGTCACATATCATGAGTACCTTTTGACACAGCATAGTTTTTTTTTGGAAAATTGCGATGTTAATAAAATATTTTAGCATTTTAAGGAGGACAATAATTAAATAAGATAAACAAAATGTGTTTTGCAAATAAAGTATATGTAAAGTGTCCAGACATCCGTCATAACGGACAGTCCGTCATTCAACATTGTCCATTCAAATGACCGTCAATTGAATTCGATCAAATGAAGATTAAGTTATCTTAGAAAAAATTAGCGAGTGGAAGCAAAATTATACTAAAATATATATAAAATGGGTGGTTTGGTTTGGTTGGAACAACACATTTTTCTTTGGAATTTATTTCCTACTTTATCATACAAAAAATTGTTCCATTTCGTGTTGCTTCTTACAGAAAGGGTATATTTACAGTGTTCAATAAGTTGTGGACAGGTACAGAAAAGACACAATTATCTCTACAGTTTTTAAAATGTTTGGTAATTAAAAAATGCTTACGAAGAGATCTGGAGAATAGTTTCAAAAATTCTAGTTCATAGTTTCTACTGTATTTTTATATTTTTTATTTCTTTTAACCAAAAAAATTTGGTAAATACATGTTTTAAGCTTAGCTCATATAAATGTTTTTTGAAATTCAATCAGAATAAACTAAGAAAGTGCGTAACGCACTTTTTTGTTCTGAACCATTCTTGTCTGATAAAAATTTTGTCAAAAATTAAATGGTGGGGGAGCAAAAAAGGTTAAACATCTTTACGTTCAAACGTCGATACCTCTGGGTTTGGGATGAACCTTAGACTAAAACTTCTAGACGGAGCAAGTCATTCATAAATCTACTACAACCATGTTCCACTTAGCCTGCTTAGAATGGAATCACGGAGGTTAAAATATCAATGAAAAGCCTTGAGTGGGGATAAGAACTTGGGACAGCAAATTTGGCGCGGCGATACTGGCCGGACTAATCCAATGGCGTACTGGTTTTCGCAATTTCCGGAATATGAATTTAATTAAATTAATATAAAATTAAAATCGTTCTTTAAAAACCCGTGTTAGCTAGTATAAATCTCAAAATCTTATTTTTATTTTGATTTCCATTTATACAAGACGCCTTAAATTTAATAGCATAGCATTTTAAAATGTCTTTATTTTATTAATTACCGATTTAACATAACATTTTTTTTTCAAATTACTACCATATTAGTTATAATTTTCAAGCTATGTATAAAACTCCGATTTATATATCAATTTAATTTTTATGTATATTTACTAACAGGTGCATTTTTTATTTAATGCTTTATAAAATATTTGTTCATTATTTTATAATCCTAAAACTTTGAAACCAAATTAAAAATAAATTTAAATATCTTTTATGCATGATTTAAATCATGTTCAGTGAATCTTGATTAGCACATACCTTGTGTTTTTCACAAGTGGTTCGCTCCTATAACTTTTTGATTTTTTCCAAATAAAAAAATGAAATTTTGTATGTTACTAAATGACATAAATCGGGATTGATTGTTTTCAATTACTTGTTTCACCGGAAATGATTTAAACTTTTGAATTTTAAATGGTGCTCTAGGAAATTTTTTTCACTTTATTTGATAAAAAATTACATCATGACCATAGCATTCTAGAGTGAAATTTAAAAAATACCAATAAAAAACAACTACAATATAAACAAGCAGGTTTAACTTTGACAATTAATGACAATCGACAGTAATTTTACAATAAGTTTTTACAAATTAGTTGAAGGGTTGTTTTTTACCCTAACTTTAAAACACCCTGTGCAATAATTTCAAGAGCAAATTTTCCTAAAACATTATTTTTTAGTGAGAACCCCCATCCTGAATATCATCAGTCATGTTAACACACGCCTTGGTTAATTTTTAAGAGCAAAATGAACTGGCCACAAACATTTTGCAATGTTTTCGATTATTATCGTTTCTTTTTAATGTTATTCTTCATTCATCTACCCGAAGCCCCATCTCGGGATATTAAAATATAACATCACATTTAAATTGTTGGTGGCAATTTCATTTCGCTCTTAAAAATGAACCAAGGCATGTGTGCATGAGTTAAAAACAAAATGCTCAGGAGACATGGTTCTGATCGAAAAATACTGTTTTACGAAAAGTCACTCACTAAATTATTGCACAGGATGTTTTAAAGTTAGCGTAAAAAACAGCCGTACAATTAACCCTGTATAATAAACCAAATACTGAAGTTTATAAAAAACTGAATTTATTAATTAAAGTTGATATATAAAGTTTGCCAAAAAAATCATTAAAATAGGGCTAAAAGTAAAAGAAATATCACATTAAACTTGACGAAAAAATTATCCGTTGGGTTTTTACTACATCTGAGTGTATATTAAAAATATATTTAAAAAATACATAAACAGACACATACATAAAATATAAAATATAGGAATTATTAATATATTCGACTATAAAATGGGTATTTACTTTGTAGGAGCGAAAAAAAACGGGAATCCATGACACTTATCATTAATTGTTTTTGATCAGAAATTTTGAAGGCAACACTGGCGCCTTTTTTTGCGATCATACGATTTTTACGGGAGCATTGCATTAGACAACATAACAAAGAACAAAATGTAGGTATTTCCAATTTACAGATGGTTTACACTGGGCCTACCTAAAGTACCTTTTTTTTGTCTAGGTAAATATTTTTCTTTGTTGTGGTTTATGATTATGATGCAATCTTCCTATGAAACTTCTCATGTAAATAACCATCAACTATAAAATTATTTATATTTTATATAGTATGTAATTACTAAGTTCCAATGTGGTTAAATAATAATTTCTTTAATTCATCAATCTTGATTTAAAATGAAATGTAACGCTACTGTTTCGAAAGAATCACGTATTTTATGGTAGGTCAGTACTTGCCTGTGAAATGACACATCAGGATTTTTCGAACTATTTTTCTTGCAAACTTGGCACATATCAACCATGATTATACAATATTTATAATTTTTATATCGAATGTCACTTTTTAAAATAATAAATTCACTACTTTTCAGTCAGAAAACACAAAAACACCTACAACGAAATAATCGCAAACACACGTGCCGCCAGTTTACTACGTCCAGATAAGAATTCCAATGTTGCCACGTTGACTGAACTATTTTCTGCTGATTAGATTAAATTATTTATTTTTCTATTTTTATTTAAGAGAACTGTTGTTTTACTTGCTTTAATCACTTAGTAAATGCTTATTATATACCATATAATAATTTTTAAACGTAGCATAATAAATTATATTTTATTAAATAACTTAAAGATAAGTATGTATAATGAATATTCCCTGTTATAACGATAAACTGCATGATATGGCACAATTGTCCCGCAAGACCATTAGACCGTATCTCATCGAAGGAGCCAAACAATGGATCGGCTCGCGCTCTCTATTGTCTTACTCTAAGGGATGAACTGATTTTAATCTAAATTGGTGCCGAAAAAAGCGCTTTTTGCTGTACTGGTGGAGTTATTAGCTCTATTATAATTACTTTGTTAATAGTCACTAGAGGGCGCTCTTTTTTAGCTCTCCAAATGCTGATTTTGTCAAAAAGTCAAATGGTATGCTACGATTTTTATATCACATCAGATTAAAAAAGAGGGAGATATACAATTAACAATTTTATCTAAACGTTATATAAACAATATAATGCCGAAGGCCGATAATACATTTTTTTAAAATAACAATTGAAGTGGGTAAATAAAAAAAATAAAAAAGTACCCTTATCTTTTTATGTTAAGTGCTCTTACGCATTACGCATTCAAAAAGTTTATTATATAAAACAAAATTATTGTAACAAATAGATTAATTATTATTTTATAAAAGAAATATTTTTAATAAAAGTATAAAATATATCTTTATTTATTTTAGTCGTTTTGAAGTTTGTTGGTGAAGCAAAATGTTAAATATTTTCAGAGATTAAATAAATAAAAAATAAATACAAAGATGATCATTTTTATTAAAATTTAACAAACTGACAAATTGCATCGACGCATCATAGTCATTCTGGGTGCATGGACGCATCAAATTGACGCATCGGCTCATAGTGAGTATGGGGCTTCAACTACGAAATTTATTTTAACATGTTAGTTCTATTCTTTTAAATTGTGAAAAAAATAAATCGAAAATAATGTTTAAAATTTATTTTAAAATTGATTTCTTTTAATTAGAGATAATTAATAATTTTATTGTTTTTGACTTACAGAATTTTAACGAAATCACTGTCTGTCACTTTAATGTTCTTCGAAACTGTTCGATGTGTACTAAAAATATTTTTTTTTATATTAGATTAGATAAGTTGAATCAATATATTTTTATCTGGCATATTACTAAGAACCGTTGTAGATTTAATGGACGGTAAATTATTTTTTTTCGATCAATTATGTCTTTCGCAAAGCCTATATAATAATAAAAATAAATGTAGAATTTTTGCCAAATTAGTCATTATTATCGATATTACTAATCAACCATCGATTTAAATGAATGTAAATGAATATAATATATGTATCTTTTTTTATATATGAAATAGAACACCTTATCACTGAGTGCGCCGAGACGACGACCATTCGTGCCATGAACCTTGGTACGTCTGATGTCGAGGACGGAGAGCTGGCCTCTGTGGAGCCGTCTCAGATACTGGCTTTTCTTAAAGCCCTGAGACTGTATGATGAGTTATAACTCGTTATAACTCAAGAAAGGCGAACACACAATAGATCTATAAGGTCGCGGTGATTAATTCCCCTCCTAAACATTCTACATTCTACATATATGTATATGAAATGATCTGTTTTTGTTATAAGTTTTATATGTATTGCTACATTACTAACAGACGCCTAAGCAATATAATTATATTATA